TAGTAAATAAGAGAATAGAAAAAAAAAAAAAGGGATAGAATAAAATATAATAGAAAATAAAGGGATAGAATAGAAATTAAAAAGATAGTAAATGATAGAATAGAAAATAAAGGGATAGTAAATAATAGAATAAAATAGAACAGTAAATAAATGGATAATAAAATAATAGAATAAAAACAGAATAGAAAATAAATAGATAGAATAAAACAGAATAGAAAATAAATAGAATAAAATAGAATAGAAAATAAAAGGATAGTAAGGGATAGAATAAAATAGAATAGAAAATAAAAGGATAGTAAATAATAAAATAAAATAGAATAGAAAATAAAGGGATAGAATAAAATAGAATAGAAAATAAAAGGATAGTAAATAATAAAATAAAATAGAATAGAAAATAAAGGGATTGAATAAAATAGAATAGAAAATAAAAGAATAGTAAATAATAGAATAGAAAATAAAGGGATAGAATAGAAAATAAAGGAATAGAATAAAATAGAAAATAATTGGATAGTAAATAATAGAATAAAATAGAATAGAAAATAAAGGGATAGAATATAATAAAAGAATAAATTAAAACAGAATAGAAAATAATAGAAAATAGAGGAATAGAATAAAAAAAATACATAAAAAGAAATAGAAAAGAATAAAACCGAATAAAACAATAGACACAAAAATAAAATAGAAAATAAAGGAACAAAAAATAAAGGAATAGAATAAGAGTGAACATAGCTGTCTTTCAAAATCCAATTTTTTAATCTGTTTGAAAAGAAGGAATATACAAAACGAATTCTGAAAACGAATATGACGAAACGAAATTGACTTTACGAACGAATCCAAAACTAAACAAATGTTTCTGCTATGCGCATCTCTAATATGGAAATGGACATTTGGCACCCAACCATATAGTTAGGGATTCAGTTGGTCACATAGAACAGATGTAATTGAGAATCTGGATTCAACAAATTGGTGGACTTTGGTTGAAGAAGGTCAACCAGATTCAATGGCTCCGGTGAGGTTTATCTTGGAACAGAGGAGCCCCTAAAATAGGAAGGCCCAGAAATGGAATTCCACCTGTAGAAGGTCCAGAAATGGAATTCCACTTGTAGAAGGTCCAGAAATGGAATTCCACTTGTAGAAGGTCCAGAAGTGGAATTCCACCTGTAGAAGGTCCAGAAATGGAATTCCACTTGTAGAAGGCCCAGAAATGGAATTCCACCTGTAGAAGGTCCAGAAATGGAATTCCACTTGTAGAAGGTCCAGAAATGGAATTCCACTTGTAGAAGGCCCAGAAGTGGAAATCCACTTGTAGAAGGCCCAGAAGTGGAATTCCACTTGTAGAAGGCCCATCAATGGAATTCCACTTGTAGAAGGTCCATAAGTGGAAATCCACTTGTAGAAGGTCCAGAAGTGGAAATCCACTTGTGGAAGGCCCAGAAGTGGAATTCCACTTGTAGAAGGCCCAGAAATGGAATTCCACTTGTAGAAGGCCCATCAATGGAATTCCACTTGTAGAAGGTCCAGAAATGGAATTCCACTTGTAGAAGGTCCAGAAGTGGAATTCCACTTGTAGAAGGCCCATCAATGGAATTCCACTGTAGAAGGTCCAGAAGTGGAATTCCACTTGTAGAAGGCCCAGAAATGGAAATCCACTTGTAGAAGGCCCAGAAGTGGAATTCCACTTGTAGAAGGCCCAGAAATGGAATTCCACTTGTAGAAGGCCCAGAAGTGGAATTCCACTTGTGGAAGGTCCAGAAATGGAATTCCACTTGTGGAAGGTCCAGAAGTGTAAATCCACTTGTGGAAGGCCCAGAAGTGGAATTCCACTTGTCGAAGGCCCATCAATGGAATTCCACTTGTAGAAGGCCCAGAAATGGAATTCCACTTGTAGAAGGTCCAGAAATGGAATTCCACTTGTAGAAGGCCCAGAAATGGAATTCCACTTGTAGAAGGTCCAGAAATGGAATTCTACTTGTAGAAGGCCCATCAATGGAATTCCACTTGTAGAAGGCCCAGAAATGGAATTCCACTTGTAGAAGGTCCAGAAATGGAATTCCACTTGTAGAAGGTCAAGAAATGGAATTCCACTTGTAGAAGGTCCAGTGAGAGTGCCCAGCAGTGCTAATAACTCCCTGTTGATTTTTGTCTTCACACTATTTAGTATTTGATGATTATGGCACTTTGAGTCCTCCCGAGTCTGTATAAAATTGGAGCCCTGAAAAGGAGACATGTACCCCAGAATCGTATTAGCCGTTTGATATTGGTGATTTGGTGAACGAAAACCATCGTTAAAGATCTTACTTCTTTAGGCCGGAGTTCTCATTGGACTTTCTACATTGGTCTCCACCAACATCTTCTGTTATAGCAATTTATCATCTCAAAGGATATCAAAAGATGAAGGAACTTGCATGTAGGCTGATTATTGGCAGGGGAAAAAATGTAAATGACCTTTGTATTGGTACCATGAGGTCCACCTCCACACTTCCACAGTACGGGCTTTACTGTCGTTTGAAGACTACAACCTCCATGTCCTAGACCATTGCTTGTCCACCTACAAGGTATAGCGGGCCTCTACTGTGGCCTCTTGCATCGCCATAGGGTCTCACGTATTGTTTAGTATATGTGACGCTAGAAAGGACTATCAGAGATTGCAGACATACAGAAGAAGGTGGTGAGATACTGGAGGCATGCTACAGGTTTTGTAGAAAAGGAGACGTGTACCCCAGGATCGTATTAGCCGTTTGATATTGGTGATTTGGTGAACGAAGACCATCGTTAAAGATTTTGGGCTCTTAGTTCTTTAGTCTCGCTTTCTCATTGGACTTTCTACATTGGTCCCCACCAACATCTTCTGCTCTAGCAATTTATCATCTCAAAGGATATCAGTTGGCCACAAAAGATGAAGGAACTTGCACATAGGCTGATTATTGGCAGGGGAAAAAATGTAAATGACCTTTGTATTGGTACCATGAGGTCTACCTCCACACTACGGGCTTTACTGTCGTTTGAAGACCACAAACTTCCCGTCCTAGACCATTGCATTTCCACCTACAAGGTATAGTGGGCCTCTACTGTGGCCTCTTGCATCGCCATAGGGTCTCACGTAATGTTTAGGATGTGTGACGCTAGACAGGACTATCAGAGATTGCAGACATACAGAAGAAGGTGGTGAGATACTGGGAGCATGCTACAGGTTTTTTTGGAGACTGTAGAAATATTGCAAAAGAGTGAGACACTGGGGCCAAGTTACATTAGGCTTGTGGAAATCCCCCCTCCACAAATCAATGCTGTCCTCTCCCACTACAAATTGCTGGGGCCTGAGAGCCGCACAGTAACTACCAAGGGGTATCAGGTTGGGCACCAAGATCCTGGATAGATGTATAAATTTGGTATTTTCTCCAATCACTCTTTCTAAATGAGTAACATTTGACCTGGAGCATTCAACTCCAACTCAAATACGAGAACACTTTGCATTCATTCAGAAAATGCCAAGCAATCTCCTGGCTGGTGTGGTGCCTGTGCTCCTGGCCAACTGCCTGTGTTCACAATCCAGGAGACCAGCAACCTTGCACAGAACCTGGTAGCTAATGGAGACCACTGGAGTAGCTGTGTAGTAACGGTGTCTACTTCAAGACTTTCCGGCTTCCAGGGGCATCGACCAGGTATGGTATGGAGCTGGAACAATGTAACTATGTATAAAATATCCCATCGGATGGGAATTCTCGTAAAATTGGGGAAAGAAACACTTCAGAGGAAGATGGCCAAAGCTCTATTCACCATTCTTCTCTTGTAGGTCACAGGAGTGCACTTACTTGTCTTTTCCTGTGACCCAGAATCGTCTGACAGCCCGTTGTTAGCTGAGGTCACCAATCAGCTCCAGACTCTAGATCGTGGGTGTCAAACTCAATTTCATCGTGGGCCGCAAAAGTGTTATTGTTGCCCTCAAAGGGCCGGTTGTAGCTATAAGACTAGTTGTCCAGAGCACCCCGACCTCCCCTTTACATCAGATGTCAAAAGACCCCACCCTCTCCTACATCACCGTGCACACCCCTAACCTTGTGCTGCTGCCGGGAAGAAGCTGGGGGTAGAGCTGGGAAGCAGAAAGTGATCACCTGGTCTGGAGGAGGACCAGAGGAGGGCTGGAGTAAGCTGTCGGAGTCTGCAAATGCTGAGACCAGGGGAGGCAGAAGCAAGGGGGTGCTGTGGCTGCACAGTTGTAGGAGGAGTTCTGTCCTCCTCAGGGGCGGACTGACCATTCAGGTACTCGGGCACTGCCCGAGGACCTGGGGTCAGTAGGGGGCTCCATGAGATGCCCCTGGTACCTTTCATAGGCTTTTTTGGGTGTGCTTTGAATGTGGGTGGGGACACAGGGGCCCCATGAGTTGTCAGTCCCTTTCACCCCTGGTCCTCCTATTTGCTGCCAACTACTGAGACGGGGAGGAGGAGCAAAAACATGACTTTTCTTGGATGCTCGGAGAAACGTAGTAGTAGATGGAAGGGTTATGTCTTCTCCTCCGCTGTTGACTGCTGAGAAAAGAAAGGGATGAAGACAAGGAGGGTGCCTAGGCTGCAGGAGAAGGCCACATGAAATGGCCTGGTGGGCCCGATTTGGCACCCTGGCCTTGTGTTTGACACGGGCTCTAGATGTATCCTAACAATAATGTCGGGATCCACCCAGATGCCTGGACCAGCAGCTGGTTCAGCCTCTCAGCAAACCGTTGAGAAACCTGAGCTTGCCTCTCCTGTCCCCTCCACAAACATTGGACGGGCAGAGCAAAGAGCCGGTGACTGTCACTGCTCTCTTCTCAGAGTGGACTGAGAACTGAGTGATCAGCGGTCATGTGATCGCTCAGTTCTCGGGCTTGGAGCTTGCCCTGACCACTCTTGATTGGGCCCAGAATGCAAAACTGAGATTCAACCTGGGACTTTTGGGAAGATCCCCTCATCTTTTAGAGTGTTGATGGACTGCAATGCCGTAAACCTAAGAGACAAGCCAAGGGTGGCCAGAGAGTCCTTACCATGATGGCATTTACAATATCGTTGTTGTTGTGCCGGAGCGCCCGCACCGCCTTCGCCCGGGAAACGTTGGCCTGCGCCATCACCAGCTCGATGTCTCTTACTTCTAATCCGGTCTCGTCAACCTGTAAGTACAAGAGGATGGTGATAGGTGAGGTGGATGTCCTGAGCCAATCGAGCAACCACTTGAAAGCAATGACGGGACACTATTCCTCCCACTGACACCAATGATGGGGCACTATTCCTCCCACTGACACCAATGATGGGGCACTATTCATCCCACTGACACCAATGATGGGGCACTATTCATCCCACTGACACCAATGATGGGACACTATTCCTCCCACTGACACCAATGATGGGGCACTATTCCTCCCACTGATACCAATGATGGGACACTATTCCTCCCACTGACTCCAATGATGAGGCACTATTCCTCCCACTGACACCAATGATGGGGCACTATTCCTCCCACTAATAATGATGGGGCACTATTCCTCCCACTGACACCAATGATGGGGCACTATTCCTCCCACTGATACCAATGATGGGACACTATTCCTCCCACTGACACCAATGATGGGGCACTATTCCTCCCACTGACACCAATGATGGGGCACTATTCCTCCCACTGACACCAATGATGGGGCTTTTCTCACTCCCAATCTACGCCAGGACATTTTCTAAACCCACTGGCCACAGTCCGGCCCCCCTAAACTCTGAAGGATAGTAAACTAGCCGGGTTTGCTCTCCCTACACTAGCCACTTTGCAAATGCTCGCCAAAACTGGGGGAAGGGACTTGCTTGAACCAAGGTGCGTCACCTGGATGCAGTGTAGCCAACCGGAACACTGATCCAGGGGACCAAGGAAACCACAGAGAAACCAGGTTACTCTTGACTTCCTCTTCAGCTGCAGTGCCACTCTGGTCGAGCGCCACCTACAGGGTAGGAAATAGACTTCACCTGCCGAACATTGAGTGAGTGTTGTCACCATATTACAGGATTTAATCCAAGCCCCGATGATGGGGGGGCGTGTGAACCTCCGAAATCCGCTGGCTCTTTTAATAGTATTGAACATCCAATAAAGTATCTTTCTGGCCACTATTACTATTGGTGTGGTATCCTTGCTACATTTTGCATATCTGGATCATTCTGAGGAAAAATTTCACAGCCATTGGTTCTCATTTTTAGGGACACTTTAATGACTGGCATAGTACCACTGGATTGGTGTAAGGCCAATGTGGGGCCAATATTTAAAAAGGGATCAAAATCTTTACCAAGTAATTATAGACCTGTTAGTGTAACTTCTATAGTTGGGAAGATACCGGAGAGTTTAATAATAGACACAGAGAGGAGTTCTTCCTGGAAAAAAATATTGTAACAGACAGCATGGAGTCATGAAAGACAGAAGTTGTCACACAAATCTGATTGCTTTTTATGAGGAGGTGAGCAAAACCTTGGAGAGAGGGGTGGCTGTGGACATGGTATACTTGGACAGAGGGGTGACAATTGATGTGGTATACATGGACACAGGGATGGACGTGGTATACTTGGACAGAGGGGTGGCGGTGGACGTGGTATACTTGGACAGAGGGGTGTCTGTGGATGTGGTATACTTGGACAGAGGGGTGGCGGTGGACATGGCATACTTGGACAGAGGGGTGGCTGTGGATGTGGTATACTTGGACAGAGGAGTGGGGGTGGACGTGGTATACTTGGACAGAGGGGTGGTGATGGACATGGTATACTTGCACAGAGGTGTGATGATGGATGTGGTATACATGGACAGAGGGGTGGCTGTGGACGTGGTATACTTGGACAGAAGGGTGGCAGTGGACGTGGTATACTTGGACAGAGGGGTGGGGGTGGGGATGGTATACTTGGACAGAGGGGTGGCTGTGGACGTGGTATACTTGGACAGAGGGGTGGCTGTGGACATGGTATACTTGGACAGAGGGGTGACAATTGATGTGGTATACATGGACACAGGGATGGACGTGGTATACTTGGACAGAGGGGTGGCGGTGGACGTGGTATACTTGGACAGAGGGGTGTCTGTGGATGTGGTATACTTGGACAGAGGGGTGGCGGTGGACATGGCATACTTGGACAGAGGGTTGGCTGTGGATGTGGTATACTTGGACAGAGGGGTGGTGGACGTGGTATACTTGGACAGAGGGGTGGTGATGGACATGGTATACTTGCACAGAGGTGTGATGATGGATGTGGTATACATGGACAGAGGGGTGGCGGTGGACGTGGTATACTTGGACAGAAGGGTGGCAGTGGACGTGGTATACTTGGACAGAAGGGTGGCAGTGGACGTGGTATACTTGGACAGAGGGGTGGCTGTGGACGTGGTATACTTGGACAGAGGGTGGCAATGGACGTGGTATACTTGGACAGAGGGGTGGCTGTGGACGTGGTATACTTGGACAGAGGGGTGGCAATGGACGTGGTATACTTGGACAGAGGGGTGGCAGTGGATGTGGTATACTTGGATTTTGCAGAAACATTTGCACAGATCCCCACACACGGCTAATGTGTAAGGTAAAGTCTACGGGCTGGAAAAACCTGAATGTAAATGGATAGAAAACTGGCTAAAAGATCGTATTCAGAGAGTAGTGGTTAATGATTCATACCCTGCATGGTCTAGGGGTGTCAGTGGTGTACCCCAAGGTTCAGTGTGATTAGTGGGGTACCCCAAGGCTCAGTGTTATTAGTGGGGTACCCCAGGGTTCAGTGTTATTAGTGGGGTACCCCAGGGTTCAGTGTGATTAGTGGGGTACCCCAGGGTTCAGTGTGATTAGTGGGGTACCCCAAGGCTCAGTGTTATTAGTGGGGTACCCCAAGGTTCAGTGTTATTAGTGGGGTACCCCAGGGTTCAGTGTTATTAGTGGGGTACCCCAAGGTTCAGTGTTATTAGTGGGGTACCCCAGGGTTCAGTGTTATTAGTGGGGTACCCCAGGGTTCAGTGTTATTAGTGGGGTACCCCAAGGTTCAGTGTTGGGACTCTTACATTTTAATATATTTATAAACAATATGGGGTCTGAGATTAAAAAATCCCATTTCAGTCTTTGCAGATGACACCAAGCTGTGCCGGGAATAACGTCCTTACAGGATGTCTCCACAAGCCGACCTCAATGCTCTGTAATTTGGGAAATTAGGATTATTCTGATAAATGTAAGGGGAATCAATGGTGGAGAAGGATCTGGGGGGGTAATGGTGGAGAAGGATCTGGGGGGTCAATGGTGGAGAAGGATCTGGGGGAATCAATGGTGGAGAAGGATCTGGGGGGTCAATGGTGGAGAAGGATCTGGGGGAATCAATGGTGGAGAAGGATCTGGGGGAATCAATGGTGGAGAAGGATCTGGGGGGTCAATGGTGGAGAAGGATCTGGGGGGGGTCAATGGTGGAGAAGGATCTGGGGGAATCAATGGTGGAGAAGGATCTGGGGGAGGTCAATGGTGGAGAAGGATCTGGGGGAGGTCAATGGTGGAGAAGGATCTGGGGGGGTCAATGGTGGAGAAGGATCTGGGTGTTCTGGTAGATCACATTTATAATGGCCAAGCTGCGGGTTCTAAAGCGAGCAAAATCCTCTCTTGTATTAGGAGAGGTATAGACTCCAGAGAGAGAGATATCATCCCCCCCCCCCCCCCCCCGGGTACAAATCATTATTAACACCTCATCTGGAATATGCAGTTCAGTTTTGGGCTCCAATTCAGAAAAAGAACATTGGGGAACTGGAGGAAGTACAGAGAAGGGCAACCAAACTGATATGAGGCATGGAGGAGATCAGCTATGAGGAGAGATTAGAGGAACCGAATGTATTCTCTACTGAGAAGAGGAGATTAAGGGGGGATATGATCACCATGTATAATACATAAGGGGGGATATGATCTCCATGTATAATACATAAGGGGGGATATGATCTCCATGTATAATACATAAGGGGGGATATGATCACCATGTATAATACATAAGGGGGGATATGATCTCCATGTATAATACATAAGGGGGGATATGATCTCCATGTATAATACATAAGGGGGGATATGATCACCATGTATAATACATAAGGGGGGATATGATCTCCATGTATAATACATAAGGGGGATATGATCTCCATGTATAATACATAAGGGGGGGGGATATGATCACCATGTATAATACATAAGGGGGGATATGATCTCCATGTATAATATATAAGGGGGGATATGATCTCCATGTATAATACATAAGGGGGGATATGATCTCCATGTATAATACATAAGGGGGGATATGATCTCCATGTATAATACATAAGGGGGGATATGATCTCCATGTATAATACATAAGGGGGGATATGATCTCCATGTATAATTCATAAGGGGGGATATGATCTCCATGTATAATACATAAGGGGGGATATGATCTCCATGTATAATACATAAGGGGGATATGATCTCAGTGTATAATATATAAGGGGGGATATGATCACCATGTATAATACATAAGGGGGGATATGATCTCCATGTATAATACATAAGGGGGGGATATGATCGCCATGTATAATACATAAGAGGGGATATGATCTCCATGTATAATACATAAGGGGGGATATGATCACCATGTATAATACATAAGGGGGATATGATCTCCATGTATAATACATAAGGGGGGATATGATCTCCATGTATAATACATAAGGGGGGGATATGATCTCCATGTATAATACATAAGGGGGGATATGATCTCCATGTATAATACATAAGGGGGATATGATCACCATGTATAATACATAATGGGGGATATGATCGCCATGTATAATACATAAGGGGGGGATATGATCACCATGTATAATACATAAGGGGGGATATGATCTCCATGTATAATACATAAGGGGGGGATATGATCTCCATGTATAATACATAAGGGGGGATATGATCTCCATGTATAATACATAAGGGGGGGGGATATGATCTCCATGTATAATACATAAGGGGGGGGGATATGATCTCCATGTATAATACATAAGGGGGGATTCAATCTAACCTAGAGGTATTTTCATTTACTTTTAAGCATCTCTAGTGGCAGAAGTCTTTACACTTGGACCAGACTTGGACCATCTACCAACGTGGTCCTTAGAGAGTAAACATGTTCTGACCCACTGACATCCTCATTAAAAATAGACAAATGATGGTGCCACTCCCTATAATATAGAAGAAAAATTGGTGGAGTCCAGCCAAGAACAGTTGACTTCTTCACAGTGACACTGGGATGGAGACTCAATCTCACCTAGAGGTCTTTTCATTGACTTTTAAGCATCTCTAGCGGCAGAAGAGTTTAGACTTAGACCAGACTTGGACCATCTACAAACATGGCCCTCAGAGTGTGAACATGTTCTGACCCATGATGACTTTGAGAAGTCTTTGTACATTTCTGGCCCTGATAGCTGTGGAAGAGTTCATTATAAGGAGTAGATGACCACCTCTCTGCTTATATTCTATCAAGTGTTCTCACCTCCTCCTCATCCTCACTTTCCTCTTTGATGGTCAGCGTTGGAGCGGTCTCAGTAATCAGCGGGGAATGTTCCATTGGGACTTTGAACTTCTCAGCGGCTGCTTTGTGAACTTGCTGTGATAGGTCTTCAATCTGGAATGGAAAACAATTTAACAATGTTAGGAAACAGATGTCTAACCGATCCTGTTAGGAAGATGGCCCATCTGTTCACTGGGGTCCAAAGAACCCTGCACGCTGGAAACCAAAATATGCATCATTTCAGTCCAGTTTGAGCTCTTAACACATGGGCTGTATGAGGTGAATACATCTGTAGCTCCTCTGTATGTACTTCTGGCCAATAAAGAGGCTAAAAAAAGTTCTATTTAAGGTCTACCTGATTTCAAAGAGTAAAATTTAGAAATGTTAATTGTGTACCGTACAGTTAACTCTTAATTTTTCATAAAAATAGCAGGCACCCCTGTTGTAGCCTGTATATCTTGTTGTCTGTGGCCGTAGATATGTATCTATTCAGTCGTATCCGACCCTTGGCGATTGCATGGACCATCACTCGTAAGCAACTTTTTCCATGAATTTTCTTAGCAACTATTTTACAGGGTAGGTTGCCAGGTCTTTCCCCAACCCCCACCATGCAGGAGATCCCGCATGGCCACTATATATAGTGTGAGACCATATAGGGTACTGCTACCTTTGACTGCTATTCTCACCAGATTTGGAGAGGGATTTGCTGAGGTCACTACTGTGCTGCTCACTGTTCTCCTTGCTGGAGAAGATGTTGTACCTGAGGACCTGCAATGCAGGGATCTCCCTGCTGTTACGTTATCTATTTTGTAGATCTGAGCTTCCTCCATCTCTCCTGCCACTTCTTCATCATTACGCCACCAGTAATCAAGGGGAAGCTCTGACATGAGGAAGCAATGCTCATGGTCACCTCCACACAGAGACACAGTGAAGAACAAGACTCGGTAAGATCATTAATTCGACAAAGACCAGCTACGAGGAGACCATAGGCAGTACTGGTGACCAGGGGTGGACTGACCATTTGGAAACTCGGGCACTGCCCGAGAGCCCGGGGTCAGTAGGGGGCCCCATGAGATGCCCCTGGTACCTTTTTCATAGGCTTTTTTGAGTTTGGGCAAGGACACAGGGGCCCCCATAATCCCTTAGTACCCGGGGGCCCCATGAGTTGTCAGTCCGCCCCTGCTGGTGACTAGTCGTTTGTCCTCTGCCTGCCTTTTTGGGCAAATCTTCTATGATACAGGTCTTCATTAAGTGCAAATTTGTACTAAACAGTAACAGGCAACAGAAACTTACCTATTACACCTCTGAGCAGTGAAAGTAAACAATTCATGATGGGAATCTAAAGGATTAAACAACTTACAGACAATGTCACCCTATCAACAGGGCTGCAGAGCTGCAGTTCTGGACGGAGGGTGGGAGCTGCCCAGGCGATTACCTGCTTGTTAATATGAAAAGACTCCCACTCTCTGACCCGATCTGCAATGCCTCCCGCCCCCTCATCGGTGGGGTGGGAGATTCGGAAGAGGAAACTAAGTGGCATGGCCGCGGTCCGGACGGGACTGTCACGAACTGCAGTAGCCGCTCATCTCCTGCTGTGCAGCCATAGACCGCTGCCAGTCCGTGACCCCAGCATTGAGGACCTTTGATATAGTCTATCTATTTCCAGAACCTACCAAATATTGAAAAGTGCAACATAATTTCAGCTTTGAGTCTCAAATCTACTTTTTCCAAAATTCTCGTTGATCTGCAAGAAATGCAATGAGCTCCTGGCTTCCTGTAGCGGGCTGAGATCCCAGTGCCTTTTCTGTACTGAAATCTCCAGCAGAGTTGTCAGGACTCCTCCCATCTCCTGCTCCTCTCTGTTGCACTCCATGTCCATAAACTGATACTTTCACAGCAAACCTGTGCTGTTGGCTTGACTTCCAAGAGCCCGCCCAATCACTGGGTGAAGGGAAAGGGCTCTTGCGATACAGTGAAGGAAATAAGTATTTGCTCCCCGACTGATTTTGAACGTTTGCCCCTCACAAAGAAATGATCGGTCTAAAAATCGAATGTTCGGTGTATTGTAAAGCAGAGACAGAATAGCAACAAAAAATTCAAAACAAATGCATGTCTAACAAATGATGACGGATCTGCATGTTCATGAGGGAAAGAAGAATTTGATCCCCTTCACAAAACAAGACTTAGTACTTGGTGGCAAATCCCTTGTTGGCAATCACAGAGGTCAGATGTTTCCTGGAGTTGGCCACCAGGTTCGCACACATCTCAGGAGGGATTTTGGCCCACTCCTCTTGGCAGATCCTCTCCAAGTCATTAAGGTTCGGGGGCTGACATTTGGCAACTCGAACTTTCAGCTCCCTCCACAGATTTTCAATCGGATTAAGGTCTGGAGACTGGCTAGGCCACTCCAGGTCCTTAATGTGCTTCTTCTTGAGCCCCTCCTTTGTTGCCTTGGCCGTGTGTTTTGGGTCATTGTCATGCTGGAACACCCATCCACGACCCATTTTCAATGCCCTGGCTGAGGGAAGAAGGTTCTCACCCAAGATTTGACGGTACATTGCCCCGTCCATCGTCCCTTTGATGCGGTGCAGTTGTCCTGTCCCCTTAGCAGAAAAAACACCCCCAAAGCAGAATGTTTCCACCACCATGTTTCACAGTTGGGATGGTGTTCTTGGGGTCATAGGCAGCATTCCTCCTCCTCCAAACACGGCGAGTTGAGTTGATGCCAAAGAGCTGGATTTTGGTCTCCTCTGACCACAACACTTCCCACCAGTCCTCCTCGGCATCATTCAGATGTTCAGTGGCAGACTTCAGACGGGCCTGGACATGTGCTTTCTTGAGCAGAGGGACCTTGCGGCACTGCAGGATTTCAGTCCTTGTCGGCGTAGTGTGTTACCAATTGTTTTCTTGGTGACTGTGGTCCCAGCTGCCTGGAGATCATTGACAAGATCCTCACGTGTAGTTCTGGGATGATTCCTCACTGTTCTCATGATCATTGACACTCCACGAGGTGAGATCTTGCATGGTGCACCAGACCTAGGGAGACTGACACTTGTTTTGTGTTTCTTCCATTTGTGAATGATTGCACCAACTGTTGTCACCTTCTCACCAAGCTGCTTGGCCATAGTTTGGTAGCCCAGTCCAGCCTTGTGTAGGTCTACCATCTTGTCCCTGACATCCTTGGACAGCTCTTTGGTCTTTGCCATGGTGGAGAGTTTGGAATCTGATGGTTTGATTGCTCCTGTGGACAGGTGTCTTTTATACAGGTAACACAATGAGATTAGCAGCACTCCCTTTAAGAGACTGCTTCTAATCTCAGCTTGTTACCTGTATGAGAGACACCTGGGAGCCAGAAATCCTGCTGAATGATAGGGGATCAAATCCTTCTTTCCCTCATGAACATGCAGATCAGTCATCATTTGTTAGATGCATTTCTGCTGAATTTGTTGTATTCTGTCTCTCAGTGTTACAATACACTGAACATTCGATTTTTAGACCGATCATTTCTGTGTGAGGGGCGAACATTCAACATCAGCAGGGGAGCAAATACGCATTTCTTTCACTGTAAGTAGTTCTAGGGGTGTGCCTACATCAATAGGAACGGCCCTCCGAGCAACTGCCACTGCTAGTTTTTTACAAGCCTGTTTATGACATCACAAGGAATAATAAAAGCTGTTGAAAACCTCAAATGTCTAAGCTCAGCTGTAGACTTCAAAATCCTTTATTGTTGAAAGGCAATAGTTATGATTTAGATACCAAATCTAATGCGTTTCGGCTAAGCAGTATTAGAGTATAGCAATGGCTAAGGCTGCCTATTGAAAGTGTGTTATCTTTGGTGCCACCATGTTAACCATGGACCTTTAGCAATAATGGATTTTGAAGTTTACAGTCAAGCTCCAACATTTGCAGGATTTGGAAGTTTTACAAAAGTGAGCAGGAACCCAGCGGTGGAAATGACCCTTCATGGGCCATATTGGCTGAGAGTTAGCGCTAGTCTAGCCCTTACAGGGACAAGGTAAAAGGAAATGTTGGGACATGACCAAGAAGGGACATCGGGTGGCGTGTGGGAAAACTTAGGTGAAGTCTATAAAAATCTTTTCATGTTCTTGTGGTCACCTTGGCTTCTCCAAATACGATATAGATGTCAGACGCTGGACTCTTGAACACGTCCGGCTTGGTGATGACAAACAGGATGTTCTTGGATTTCCGTATGGTGATCCTGGTGACGCCGTGTATCTGCCGGAGACCAAGCTTGGACATGGCCTGGAGAGAGGTGGGAGAGCAAGAAGAAAATGCTTTATGTCAAAGACTAGATGAGCCAGGAGGGGTTGTCAGGGCTTTTTATAGTTTTGTTTCTCTTTCTCTTCAATGAATGCTACCTGTACATAGAATTTCCATCTGTACGAACAAGTCAAGGTGCAAAATTAAAGGCTGGATACCATTCTCAAGCTATAGAAGTGTTGACAAATAATGCAGCGAGAGTCCAGTTAGGCCTACAGCAACATAGGCCTAAAACAGACTTTCATTATCAGTAGGAGGCCAAAACATAAAACTTTGAAGTTCTATCACATAGTTGGAGGACACCACACTGTATGTAAAACATTAAAAATATTTTGTATCTATATGCAGGCTTGCTTAGGCCAGAGTGTTGGTTGCCCCCAAGGCTGTGCCTGGCATCATAATAGGCATTTGCCTGTTGTCCTTGTCAGGAGATGTTAATTAGTTTAGGAACATCCTGGTACTTCCCCCATGGAAGTGATATCACAACACTGCCCTTCTTGGCAGGACCCCATATAATAGTGAGTGGAGGTTAGTTTGGGATGGTTAAAGTGTAGAGCAAGCACCATCACGGAGTAATAGGACTGTGAACTTTGCCCTTGGTTCCCCTTTGTGGGCTTTCCCCAGAAAGGGTTTACCTTGATGAGGGTCTCATTTACTGAAATGCACCCCTGATTGTAGAGCAAAGGGACTTGTATCATGCGATTGCCCGGTGATGGAACCTGATGCTGCCTAATGGGAATGTATCATGCAAGTATTCACTAAAGGACATAAATTTTACTTCTGGCTGGAGTGATGTTATTCAAAAGTGATGCCTGAATACCGGAATGGAAGTGTGTGAAGTGGGCCAGTGCACCGTTAGGCCGTAAGTAGCTAGATGGGTATGATCCATACCAAGCTGCACTGGTGGGTATACAGAATCCTTGAGGTGGGTGTTGGTGGTGCCTAGTGGAAAGGGGTCTATCCTCCTGTCGGTGATTGAGGACTTGTGGAACATGTGGTAGGTACCCTAAACCCCAGGACATACTGTATGAGTCCCGGGTACATGGTGAGAGTGTTGGAGCCATAGCCTGGAACCATGGAACCAGAATACAAGGCTTTGTGAAGGTGTCCTATTGATCGCAAAAGGGGTCAGTGCTGCGTTGGGCCAGGAGGATGGTGTCATGGGGGTTTAGGCTTGCAATTCATGACGGGCAGATGCAGTGTTGGAAAGCAGCCCGGGGAGACCTGTACTTCTGTAGGCCCCCATGGTGTGGGACCACTAAGGACCTGCTTCTACTCTGATTTATGCAACATTAATGTCTGTAATAGGTCAACATGAATCCCAACCAAGCACCGTTCTTCACCAGCTTTTGACAAACACGTGAATGGCCAGTGTATCTACTTGTTTAGTATTTTTGCGCCTCTTTGGTGCTCCCTTTAATGAAGTTTATGTGGGCACGGGTGGAAGACTTAATGTTTTAGACAATGTTCCTTTCCCTGTATTGATTCGCGGTTTTATGGTTTGCATGTATAATAATGGAGAACTGGCTTTGGGTTCATCGTGCCTGGCCTGTGCTCTTCATCCTATCTCTATCTCCTTTTGAAATGCCTGTGTGAGTTGTTGCTGACTCCACCTGCTCTGTACGAAGGCCTGCGTCTACAGAATCCACTTCCTCCAATCTCAACAAAGCCCGGCTCATGAATTATTCACTCACCTTTCTGGCCTTCTTCTCGCTCCGGCTCTGCTTGGCTTTGCTGACGCATTCCTCTCCGGAACCCACACAGTGAGTCAGCTGGTTCTGTGGAGACAAAAGGAGAAGATAACCTAAAGACAGAACAGGTAGAGAGATGGATGGCTGGTCTCCCCGGGGGGCCCGCCATTGAAAAAAACGCACATTCAGCTCATTGCAGTTTTATGCTAATGTACAGTACTCATCTGTACCTGGTGATATTACTTCTCCTTTCCTTCTTTCCCCACCAGTCAGACATTTTATGGTGAAATACGATGATACATATAGAATACATTTCCACTTACCTGGAATTTTATAGTTCAAGAACTCCCATAATTCAACAGATGCAAAATAGAATTTTGTTCAAGTTGAGCAAAGCAGTCTTGGGTTTTTTTTTTTTAAATTGCAGTCAAAAGTCGCAAATAACACCTATAATGTTTGTAATATGTGTGGAATGTCAGTTGCTACTTGTTTCCTTTTGCAGGGCCAGAGTAATATTCCTTAACATTCGACCCTAAGAGATCGTGACTTGTCAGTTTTTACCTCGACTAGTTCCTGACCACAGCTTGTCTCTGCTGATTCCCAGTTTTGAACTCTACTAGTTCCTGACCATGGCTTGTCTCTGCCGAATTTCAGGTTTTCACCTCGGCTAGTTTCTGACCATGGCTTGTCTCTGCTGAGTCCCATTTTTGACCTTGGCTAGTTCCTGACCATGGCTTGTCTCTGCCAAATCTCAAGTTTTGACCTCGGCTAGTTCCTGACCATGGCTTGTCTCTGCCTTATCCCAGGTTTTGACCTCGACTAGTTCCTGACCATGGCTTGTCTCTGCCGAATCTCAAGTTTTGACCTCGGCTAGTTCCTGACCATGGCTTGTCTCTGCCTTATCCCAGGTTTTGACCTCGACTAGTTCCTGACCACAGCTTGTCTCTGCTGATTCCCAGTTTTGACCTCTACTAGTTCCTGACCATGGCTTGTCTCTCCTGATTCCCAGTTTTGACCTTGACTAGTTCCTGACCATGGCTTTTCTCTGCCGAATCTCAGGTTTTGACCTCGGCTAGTTCCTGACCATGGCTTGTCTCTGCTGATTCCCAGTTTTGACCTCGGCTAGTTCCTGACCATGGCTTGTCTCTGCCGAATCTCAGGTTTTGGCCTCGGCTAGTTCCTGACCATGGCTTGTCTCTGCTGATTCACAGTTTAGACCTTGACTAGTTCCTAACCACGACTCGTCTCTCTTGATTCACAGTTTCGACCTCAACTAGTTCCTGACCATGACTTGTCTCTCCTGATTCCCAGTTTTGACCTCGACTAGTTCCTGACTATGGCTTGTCTCTCCTGATTCCCAGTTTTGACCTCGACTAGTTCCTGACCATGGCTTGTCTCTGCCATATCCCAGGTTTTTGACCTTGGCTAGTTCCTGACCATGGCTTGTCTCTGCTGATTCCCAGTTTTGACTAGTGATGGGCTTTATGTTTGAGTCAAATGGTAAGGTCTTTTGGTGGGCTGTACGCCTGCCTTGCCCCACAATAAGCTGCACCATGTCAGTGCATTGTGATTGGCCAAAGCAACACATCTGACCACAGTGCAATGCATTGGCCAATCACAGAGCATCATGATTTCAAAAGGGGGTGGGGGTAACCCCGCCCCTTGTGACATCATCACAATATTTAAGAACTGTCATCTTGGTGCAGCTGTCAGACAGTAAGAGCCAGCGTCTAGAGCGGTGCGTTTTTTTAAATTCTTTTCGGGTTGGCGGCGGCGGTGGGCATCATGCCTGATGTTGGATCTACTTCAGGGGGACCTTTTATTAAATTTTTGTTTCTAATAAAGGACTTGTCAAAGACTGTCTCCTGTCATTTTTTTACTACACTTTTTGTGTACCCCATGTACCCCATACTCATTCACTTAGGGGGGCTGGGATCTGGGGACCCTCTTGTACACCCTCAAGGGGTGTATAATCTAAGGTCTCCACCTGCAGACCCTGCAGGGGAAGAGGCCCTTGTCCCCTTCAACATGGGGACAAGGTGCTTTGGGGGGGAGCCCCCATGTTGAGGGCATGTGGCCTGGTATGGTTCAGGAGGGGGTGGGTGCTCACTCATCCCCCCTTTTCTGACCTGCCGGGCTGCATGCTCGGATAAGGGTCCGGTATGGATTTTGGGGAGGACCTCTACGCCATGTTGGCGTGGGGGGTTTTCCTCAAAATCCATATCAGACCAGAAGGGCTTGGTATGAGTAGGAGGGGGACCCAATGCTATATAAAAAAAAAAAAAATAATTGCCATCAATTCTTTTGACATTCAGCTGTCAGTGGGAAACCCCGCTGACAACTGAAACATCAAAGAATGTTTTCACTACTAAAATACCACATAACTTAGTAATATAACTCATGCCGTATATTAGTAGCTGTGCGATATCTTATCGCATACTCAGTAAGATACTGCTCTGTAAATTGTCCCTGTTCGAAATTTGCGGTCGAACTTTTGGTAAGTTCAAATGTTCGACCGCGAACTGAACAGGGGGTGTTCGGCCCATCACTAGTTTTGACCTTGGCTAGTTCCTGACCATGGCTTGTCTCTGCTGATTCCCAGTTTTGACCTCGGCTAGTTCCTGACCGTAGCTTGTCTCTGCTGATTCTCAGTTTTGACCTCGGCTAGTTCCTGACCGTGGCTTGTCTCTGCTGATTCCCAGTTTTGACCTCGGCTAGTTCCTGACCGTAGCTTGTCTCTGCTGATTCCCAGTTTTGACCTCGGCTAGTTCCTGACCGTGGCTTGTCTCTGCCGAATCTCATGTTTTGACCTCGGCTAGTTCCTGACCATGGCATGTCTCTGCCATATCCCAGGTTTTGACCTCGACTAGTTCCTGACCATGGCTTGTCTCTGCTGATTCCCAGTTTTGACCTTCACTAGTTCCTGACTATGGCTTGTCTCAGCTGAATCTCATGTTTTGACCTCGGCTAGTTCCTGACCATGGCTTGTCTCTGCTGATTCTCAGTTTTAACCTCAGCTAGTTCCTGACCATGGCTTGTCTCTGCTGATTCTCAGTTTTGACCTTGGCTAGTTCCTGACCATGACATGTCTCTGCCATATCCCAGTTTTGACCTTGGCTAGTTCCTGACCATGGCTTGTCTCTGCTGATTCTTAGTTTTGACCTTGGCTAGTTCCTGACCATGGCTTGTCTCTGCTGATTCTCAGTTTTAACCTCAGCTAGTTCCTGACCATGACTTGTCTCTGCTGATTCTCAGTTTTGACCTCAGCTAGTTCCTGACCATGGCTTGTCTCTGCTGATTCTCAGTTTTGACCTCAGCTAGTTCCTGACCATGGCTTGTCTCTGCTGATTCTCAGTTTTGACCTCAGCTAGTTCCTGACCATGGCTTGTCTCTGCTGATTCTCAGTTTTGACCTTGGCTAATTCCTGACCATGACTTGTCTCTCTTTGACTTTGGCTTGCCTCCTGACTACAACTGTGTTTGCTACCCTGTCTGCTGTCTGTCTCCTTGGCTACCAACCACCTCCTGTCCAGACCATGCTTCCAGCCTGTTGTGTGTTCCACTGTATCGGTCAACTGCCTTCCAGTCTACCTCTTCATGGAGACATTCCTGTTGGTCTGCACAGATGCCTCAAAACCAAGTTTGCCTCCATAAGGGAACATTTGTGGCCTGGATGTCCAGCACCGGTGCCAATCTGTACCCTCTCATTCTCTATACTACACTCCAGGCGTGCCTGGACCAGAGGTGTAAGAAAAGCCCTCTTGTCTTCTCAGTTGCCAGAAGAATTAAAGATCATTTGATCAATAGAGAAAATAGCCTAACACTATAGGCTATGAACATTGGCCCGAACAAACAAATTACAGGAGGGGGACCTCTGCACTTTAATGGAGGTATTTAAAAAAAGTGGCAGAGCTTTTTGTCCTGTGAAACTGCATGTACATTTGTTTTGAGTGAATGGTGGCAAAAACGAAAGTCATTGAGTTACTTTCTCTCTCGTTTGCAAATTTTTTCAGGAATCAGGAAATTATCACATTATGTCCGCTAGATGGAGGATCATTTTAAATAAGTATTTGGCCCCTTTCACATGGGGTGGACCCATCAGTGGATTCGCTTGCTCAGCGAGGGATCTTCCCACTGATTCCTACTGAGCAGTGACAGGTCCGTGTCTGCCCCGCCCATGCAGAGCAGGCATGAACACAGCCCACTGTCCTCTATGGGCTGACGGATGGAAATGGACCGCCTGCGCATTTCCATCTGGTTGTCATCCAATCCAGTCAACTAGACGGATGGAGAAAGGATCCCCATATATCTGTTTTTAGCGGACAGGATTGGTTCAGATCGGATGCAGGCGGGTGTAAACGGACTCATGTCCCTTTACACCCACCGTTCCATAGAGTGAAATGGAGTGTCCGCTCACGTGAAAGGGGCCTAAAGGTGTAATGAATCAGCTACTGCAGAGTGAATTGACATACAGAAATGATACAATGTTGCAGAGATGGAACTCTGTTGTTTGAAAAGTTTACTGGACAGGAACCTTCAGAGATCACCCAAGGTAAACAACAAAGTTCCATCTCTGCAACATTTTATTCGTTCTGTATATCAGTTCACTCTCCGCAGTAGTTGATTCATTACACTTAGGCTGGCCATACATTATACAATTGTCTTGAGAATTTTGCTTTAGATTTACCAAAAACCATATAATATGAGGTCAGACCTAAACAACACTTTCAATTGTATCAATTAGGCCGGCCCTTGCACTATATAGTTGAAGGTAAATCTAAAGGAAATTGGGCAGAAATTGGACAAAAATTTTTATAGTGTATGGCCAGCCTTAGCAGAGGTGTAGCAGAGGTTTCCCTCATATCCCTCCTTCCAACTTCATGTCCAATCACTATCAAAGTCATGTAGGCTCCACCTCCGCAACATCTCCAAGATACACACGTTCCTCACCCCAGACACCACCAAACAACTTGTACACTCCCTCATCATCTCACGCCTGGGCTACTGCAACCCCCTTCTCACTGGCCTACCCAAACAAACGCTATCCCCCCTCCAGTCTATCCCGAACTCAGGGGCGAGACTCATCCA